ACGCACACGGCACACGCGCCACCCTACACGAGCCTGGTAACTAGGACAGAGGGCCACTGCAAAAAGCAGTGCCTACCTCGCGCGAGCGTGAACATGTATACACGGTGGGATAACAGCTGGGCTCGCTGCTGGCTGCTGCCTGGCTGGACGCCCTTAAGGGCGACGCTGCTGCTGACTGGACGGCTAAGGCGGAGCGGTGCTGGAATCGATCGCGCAACGCCGTGTAACATGTATAACATGTTATAACAGCGGGGCTCGCTGCCCTGCTACCAGCACAGCACACGAACACACACACGAACCGCATCACACGAGAGATCACATTTACTCCCTGCAACTCCGTCTGCGCGGAGTGGAATAAGTACACCCGGTGCTTGATCGGCTTGTGCCCTCACTTCGATGTGCCTCGGCTTAAAACACGTCTGCGTCGCTATGCTGTGCTATTCCCGTCGTTCGTGCAATCACTTGTTGCTAGCGTAGTCTTACGTATTCGTCTACTTTGTTCTGGTGTACGAGAGATCAGACAGCGACTATATATACGTTATGTAAGTGCCGAGAACCAGCGAGTATATAAATATATATATACCTATACCTACACATATCTCTACACCTTCTATGTATTATATACTATATTATATATAGTATATAATTTTATATATAATAAATACAACGCTATTATCACATATAAGCTTACAGGCTCAATACATGTATTATTTAGCTCTGGATCTAATTATTTCTGCGTATTTCTGATACGCACTGTATGCGTGCGCATGAGGCGATGATGCAAGGGTTTCAAATGAGTGTCTAGATTGAAGAACGCGTACTGTCAGTCTACCATGATGGCCTGGTATTGCGACGATAATTCATTATATGTATGGATCGGTAATTGCATTCACCTGTTTGGGCCTGATTAGCCGATTACACGCTATTGATTGATATGATTAGTGGATGATTGTTAATTACTATGGTGCATTTGTGTAATTTATACGGTATTAGGTTAGGTGTATACACCTAACCAATTATTTATAGACTAATAAATGTCATTATAACTATCACCATGAACTTAACTATCACTATAGGTGAATCTGTTCTCTCAACTAATGGCGTCGCTTCTAGTCTACGTGAACGAGCTAACATTTAATATAGTATATATATCTATTATATGCAGCTCGTCCAAGCTTTTTCAAAACGGGAGGTGCCATGACATGGTAGTACCTTGAAAAATTTTCTGCTGAGTTTTAAATGTGCGCGAAGGTCCCTCCGGCCGGGGTCCGAGCCCTGAAGGCTTCAGGGCCGTCTAGGATTGCTCTCTGGTGCAATGCGGAAGCCTTATATTTTTGGAGCATTTTTGGACACATTTATGACCGAAACTATTGGCCCTACGCTACATTTGCGCAACGAATTGATTTGCGCGCCTAACAATAACTAATTCCCGGAGTAAACTCGTGGAAAAAAGGGGTGCGACCCGCACGCACATCCTTTCTTCGGACGGCCAGTCAACATCACCACACACCAGCACAACGCACGCACACACACATCACACCACACACACACACCCACAACCCACACACACACAGCACAACACACACACACACAGCACACAACAACTATATGATATAGTATATATATCATGTTCAAATAACTGGGTAACAAGAATTTAGTCATTAACTTGAACAACTGATATTTTATATATATATATACGTACTATATATATATATATATATATATATATATTATTAATATATATATCGTGTGTGTGTCGTGTGTGTGTGTGTGTGGTGTGTCATCAGCATGTAGCATCAGCATGGCAGTACCCAGTTGTGCTGAAGCTATGGTAGCTCTCCGCTAGTCTCGTAATAGAACCGGTCGCCGTGACGTAGAGATTGGAATTTGGCGTCAAGCGAATGCATGCTGAAAGGGTGGGACCGACGAGGGGCACATATACACGTCGAGCTTGCCACGACGGCACACCGGGCCTCCCACCAGGTCGACACACGCTGACGGCCTCAGTCATTAGCCATTCATCGACCGGCTTACTGTAGAGAGTAGTGAATGTGTTCTTGTCCTCCGGCTCCGTCCGCCAAGTGCTTCACACGCGGCGTTTCTTTCTCTCCTCTCTCTCTCTCTCTCGGCCCTCCTACCTCTGCTCCTGCTCTCTGTACGTCTTCCTAGGTCCCGTCGTTCGGTCTCTCTCCCCCTCTCTCTCTTCTGCTCTCTCTCTCTCTCTGCTCTAGCTCGGTGCTCTGCTGCTCTCTCTCACCTCTTCTCGTCCGAATCTCCTCTCTCCTCTCTCCTCTCTCTCTCTCTCTCTCTTCTCTCTCTCTCTTCCTCTGCTCTCTCTCCTCCCTTGTCTCTTTCTCTCCTCCTCGGCGAGCCCTCTCTTCCCTTGCTGATCTCTCTCCTCTCTCTCTCTCTCTCTCCTCTCTCTCTCCTCCTCTCTCTCTCTCTCTAGGAGCTAATGTTACGGCGAAGGCCTGGTACAACGGGAAGAAGCTATGTTATGGGAAGCTCCGGTCCACCCAGCCGCGTACACCGGGAAAGGCATATGGTAGGGAGCGCTCGGTACCACGTACACGGGAGGACTCTGCTAATAAAAGGAGCCCTGAAAAAGAAAGCCTTACGCGTAGGACCTCCTCCAGCTTCCCATCCGGCCTCCTCTTCCATGCACTCCTTCTAATCGACGGAGATCTTCGGAAGAGGTGGAACTTGGTGGTGGATCGGAGCAGGCATTCTGGCATGCTCGTTGTAGGGAGAAAGCCGTGGGGTCGCGGCCTCGCTTCGGATGTTGAAGGCGGCGGATCAAAGCCGAAACGGTTCGAAACGTTGGGACCTCGGAACAGTTGTCTCTGAGTGCTCCTAAGAATCACGTCGCGTGCGGGTGTCTCAAATATACAGCGTATATTAGTGCCTGACATATACCAGCTGTCTTCACTGTCTCAACATTAATTATACAGGTTCACTAGTTTTAACATAATTATATTTCTAAATATACAGAGTACATTAGGTGTACATAATTATACAGGTATATAGTGTAATATATGCAGGAGTATAGGTGGAACATAATACAAAATATGCTTATTAACTTATCTTTTATCTTAACTATTACTAACTACTACTCTACGGCGGCCGTACACCTTACCTGCCGTGTCACTGTCTACCTACCTTTTCATGTAACCTATCATGTACTTGTCCACTACCTGTCACGTACCTGTCATGTATCCTGGGGCCAGCCTACCCTGTCCACGTACCTGCTTATGCACCTGGGCCCACCCTACTTGTCATGGTACCTGTCCATCTACCTGGTCATGTACTAGTCCACGTTACCTGTATGTATTCTGTCCACCTACCTGTCACGGTACGCTGTCATGGGTATCTGTACCACCTACCTGCTCACGTACCCTGTCATGTACCTGTCCCAGCCTACTGTCACGTACTGTCATGTATTCTGCTCCAACCTACCTGTCACGTACCTGTCATGTATCTGTCACCGTACCTGTCACGTACTGTCAATGTACCTGTTCCACCTACTGTCACGTTTTAACCTTTACTGTATCCTGTCCACCTACTTGTCACTGTACCTGTCCATACCGGTACAATGTAACTGTGCCATGTACCTGTCATGATCTGTCCACCACCTGTCTCACGTGACGTCATCGTATCCTGGCTCCACCTACCGTCCACGACTTCAGTATCTGTCACCACCTACCTGTCACGCTTACCTGTCATGGTATCTGTCCACCTACTGCACGTAGCCTGTCATGTATCCATTAATTATCGTCCCCACCTACTGATCACGTACCTGTTATCTACCTGTTCAGCCTACCTGTCATGTAGCCCTGCCTGCCATGCTCTGTCATGTACCTGTCCACCTACCCTGTTCATGTACCTGTCATCGCTACCTGTCCACCTACGTTGCGCATGCTACCCTTTCGATGTACCTGTCATGTACCTGTCACCTACTTGTCATTGCTACTTGTTCCACCTACCTGCTCATGCCTGTTCATGTCACAGGTCACTGTACTATCATGGTTACCGGGTCACCCTCACCTGATCAGGATGTCAACTCTATCATGTACCTGTCCACTACCTGTCACGTACCTGTCATGGTACATGCTCCACCTACTGCTGCACGTACCTGTTATGTACTCTGTCCACCTGGACCTGGGTCCAACGCTAGCCTGTGATGTCCCTGTCCACCCTACCTGTTCATGTACCTGGTCATGTACCTGTCATGTACCTGTCCACCGACCTGTCACGCTGAACCTGTCATTGTAATGTCCACCTACCGTCACGCTACCTGTAATGTACCTGGTCACCTACCTGTCATGTACCTGTCATTACCTAGTCAGTGTTACCTGTCATGTACTCGCTGCATGTACCCCGTCACCTACCTAATCATGACCTGTCCATCTACCTGTCATGCTACCTGATCACCTACACTATCATGTAACTGTCCATCTACTGTCATGGTACCTGTCATGACCTGTCCACCTACCTGTCATAGTACCTGCATGTACCTGTCCAGTGGTACCTACTCATCGTACCTGTCACGCTACTGTCATGTACCTGCTCGACCTACCTGTTCATGTACCTGTCACTGTAGCCTTGTCATGCTACCTATTCCATGTACGCTGTCCACCTCCTGTCATGTACCTTCGTCCATGTACCTGGTCCACCTACCTGTCATGCTACCTGTCATGTACCTGTCCACGTACCTGCTCAGGTACCTGTCATGTACCTGTCATGTACCCTTGTCAGGTACCGGTCACCTACCTGTCATGTACCCTGTCATGTACTGTGCCACCTACCTAGTCATTTACACCTGTCATGCTAACCTGTCCACCTACCTGTGTCGATGTGGTGTGCTGTTGGCTGTACCTGTCCACCTACCTGTACATGCTACTCGTACCTACCTGCCGTGTACCTGTCCACCTACCTATCATGTACCTGGTTCCACCATACTGTCATAGTTACCTGGCATGATACCTGTCATGTACCTGTCACGCTACCTGTCATGTACTGGTCATGTACCTGTCATGTACCTGTCATGCTACCTGTCCACTACTGTCATGTACCTGTCATGTAGCCTGTCCACCTACCTGTCATGTACCTGTCATTACCTGTTCATGTACTATCAGTGTAAACCGTCCAACCTACCTGTCATGTACCTGTCATGTACCTGTCCACCTACCTGTCACTACCTGTCAGTGTTACCTGTCACCTACCTGCTCATGTACCTGTCATGTACCTGATCACCTACCTGTCATGCTACCTGCTCACCTACCTGCGGTGTACCTGTCAGTACCGTGTCCACCTACCGTTATGTAACCTGTCCAACCTCACCTGTCATGTACACCTGTCATGGTACCTGGTCATGTACCTTATCATGCTACCTAGTCACCTACTCTGTTATGTACCTGTCCACTACTGTCATTGTACCGTGATCATGGTACCTGTCACTGTTAGCCTTCATGTACCTGCTCAACCTACCTGCTTACTGTACTGGGTGCACTGGTACCGTGTCCACCTGTCATGTACCTGTCCACCTACCTGTCATGTACCTGTCCATGTACCTATCATGTACCTGTCCACCTACCTGTTATGTACCTGTCCCCTTTTTCGCTGATGCCTCGGCAGACGCCGCGTGTGATAGAGTCAATGCCCTTGTAGTCTCCCGTCTCATCAAGAAGATCCGGCGTGAAGAAGGTATCGTCAAGGTTTATCGGATGACTGTCGGCTAGCGCTTCATCGTCTGTTTTCATCAACTGCAAGGTGGGAAATCATTTCCCATTGGCTGCCATATTTACGAAAAAAATTTCCATAAATCAGCAGAAAGTTTTTTTTTTAGAAACCACAATGCCATCCTCTGAATCCACGTCGCAAGTGACACCATATATATGTTGTTAACTCAAAAATTCTTCCATAATTTTTGTTTGTTTTTGCAATGTGATTTCATACGAAAAAGTCGGCCGTTGAAAATTTTCCGGCTGCCCCAGCAGCGCACGCCGGACGAGCCGCTTACACTGTCGGATTCAGCAAGGATTCTAGTTTCTGAAGTTCTAACCCTTTCTAGTGAGAAATAAAAAATTCGAGTGCTCGGATACACTGAAAAACGATCTCATTCTTGACCTGTCCCAGCGCTCTATGGCTGATTTCCCAGCGTTAGTACTATACCGGGAACTGCGTGGCTACAAGGCTGTGACCGAAGCGGTAGGCGGCCGTAGCGAACTCGTTGTAAATCGACGCTCGGCGGTTTCTATCATAGATGGGCGCCGTGCCTTGCGCTAGCGGATGCAGGTGGTTGCTGCGAACGAGAGATGGAGGGAGGGGGTGAGAGGGGAGGAGGGTGGAGGTGGGTGGTTGTGTGAAATCGTAGCTGGTGCATGATGTCATCCGGCGTTTAGGCATGCTGTTCGCGGAGTGAATTCATCACCCGACGGATGGATGAAACGACGTGAATGTAATATGTAAAAACGTCGTTCTTCCCCCCTCCCAGTATTTAAGCAGATTTCGCACGAGAGTGATGAATGTAGTTTGTGCACCGCGGCCTCGCGCAGCCGCCCGACGAAAGCTGCAGTGCAACTCGGTAACCGTTTGCGTCAGAGCAGATTTTCCTCCCATGTCCGTGACAGTAACTTATTATGAATTTTGCGATGATTGTGTAGCATATCGCTTGAAGCTTCGCTGGTGGCAGTTTCAGCGCGCAGTTTTTACGCGAGTTACTTTGCTCTCTGTTGCTGTGCTGCTGCATGTGGCGTTATTTATAATATGAATTGAGCACCATTTATGCTACGTACCTTAATTAGTCAATAAAAATAAGAAATATGTGAAATATCTAGTTGGAAGTTTGCTGATGTAATTGCTTTGCGTTCCTGGTAGTGGCAGTACATGTAGAGATGGGTATTGTGTTTTTTACAATTGCCCATTTATTGATGCACGCACGTACGCACGCACGCACGCACGCACGCACGCACGCACGCACGCACATTCATCCTATGAATGTCCGCAGCACACGTTCACGTACGCGCATGCCCACACACGCACGCACACACAAGCACACATACACGCGCGCACGCACACACGCACACATACACACACACACACACACACACACACACACGCACTCGTAAAGGAGGCAATCAGTAAAACAAGATTGGCAAGTGTGAGAGATTTGGCAAGAAGGCAAGAGTGGCAACGAATGCTTGCTTGTCATAAATTTATTGAAATTTATTAAATTTGCGAATACTTCCGATTACAGTTGTCATATACATGCGCGAATTCAAAACAACTAAACACGACACCTGCTTTCGTAATGTTAACATCGTTTTAAATCTTGAAGTTTGAAGTCATAACAATAATATATGTAGACTCTTCGCCAATAATGTTCGCCATACGTTCGGTTTCAATGCGAAATATCTTTGCAATTTTTATTTTTATTTATACCGGAACCGTTATACGTTAAGTCGTCGATTATTTCAAGGCGGTGGCGGTGGCGGGGGTTGTCCGCCTCCTCCTCCTCCTCCGCCTCCTCCGCCTCCGCCGCCGCCTCCGCCGCCGTCTGGGGGAGGGGGTCTTGGTTTAAATAAGTCCCAGTTGGGTTCCGGAAGGGAAGAACAGGCAACCATTCCACTGAGGAAAAAATCACACGGAAGATATGTTAAATGTCCGATTATCGAATATTGAATCAGAATCCGCATATACTGCCATACAGACACACAGACACACACACACACACACACACACACACACCACACACACACACACACACACACACACACCACACACACACACAACACACGCACGCACAACGCATACACCCCGCTCTTACGCACACGCACGTACGCTCGCTCGCACGCACGCACGCACGCACACACATGCACACACACACACACACACACACACACACACACACAACACACACACACACACGTACGCACGCAGACACGCACACACACACGCACACCACACACACGCCACACAGACACACACACACGTGCACACACACACACACACGTGCACGTGCCACACACACACACACACACACACACACACACACACACACGCACACAACACACACACGTGCGCACCACACACACACACACACACACACACACACACACACCACACACGCACACACGCACACACGCACGACCCCACTCACATACACCTGCACGCATGCACCCTCGCTCTCCACTCACGCACACGCACGCGCACCTACACACTGTAACTAGACAGAGGCACTCAAAAAAGAGTGCATAGCTCTCCGCGAGCGTGTAACATGTATACATGTGGTATTAACAGCTGGCTCGCTGCTGCGCTGCTGCTGGCTGGACGCCTTAAGCGAGCTGCTGCCTGACTGGACGGGCCTAAAAGCCGAGCTGGTGCTGAATCGATCGCGCCAACGCGTGTAACAATGTATACATGTGTATAACAGCTGGCTCGCTGCTGGCTTACACACACACACGAACACACACACGACACGCATCACACGAGAGATCACATTACCTCCCTGCAACGCCGTTGCGCGAGGTAATAAGTACACGGTGATTGATTGCTTGGCTCACCTTGTATCTGGTGCTCGCTTAAACACGTCTGCGTCTATGCTGTCTATTCCGTGTTCGTGCAGACACTTGTGCTAGCGTAGTCTTACGTATTCTCGTCTACTTGTTCTGTGTACGAGAGACAGACAGCGATATATATGAGTTATTTGTAAGTGCGAGAACCAGCGATAGTATAAATTATATATACCTATACCTACACATATCTACACCTTTATGCTATACTACTACTTACTTATATATATATATATATATATATATATATATATATATATATATAATACACGCTACTTATACATATTAAGCTTACAGGCTAACAATACATGTAATTATTAGCTCTGGATCTAATATTTCTGCGTATTTCTGTACGCACTGTATGCGTGCGATGAGGCGTATGATGCAAGCGTGTTTCAAAGAGTGTCTAGATTGAAGAACGCGTACTGATCAGTTAATGATGGCTGGTATTGGACGATAATTTATTATATGTATTGATCGGTAATTGATTACCTGTATTGGCTGATAGCCGATTACACGTATTGATTGATAATTGATTAGATGGATTGATTGTTAACTTAATAATTGTGCATTTAGTGATAATTTATTACGCGTATTAGTTAGGTGTATACACCTAACCAATTATTATAACTAAATAAATGTCATTATAACTATCACCATAACTATAACTATCACTATAGTGAATCTTTCTCTCAAACTAATGTCGTCGCTTTAGTCTACGTGAACGAGTTAAACATTTATATATATATATATATATTATATGCAGGCTCGTCCCAAGCTTTTCAAAAAGGGAGGTGGCATGACAGGAGTACTTGAAAATTTTCTGTGAGTTAATGTGCGCGAAGTCCCTCACGGCCGGGGTCCAGCCCTGGAAGCTCAGGGCCTTTAGATGCTCTCTGGTGCAATCTGAGCCTTATTTTGGAGCATTTTTGGACACAATTTATGAACGAAAATATTGGCCCTACGCTAACATTTGCGCAACGAATTGATTTGCCGGCTAAATAACTAATTCCCGGAGTAAACTCTGGAAAAAAAGGGGTGCGACCGCACCACATCCTCCTTCGGACGGCCACAAACACACACACACACGCACGCACGCACGCACGCACGCACGACACGCACGCACGNTCTCTCTCTCTCTCTCTCTCTCTCTCTCTCTTCTCTTCTCTCTCTCTCGCTTTCTCTCTCTCTCTTTCTCTCTCTCTCTCTCTCGTTTTCTTTCTATCTGTCGCTTTTTCTCTCTCTCTCTCTCGCTCGCTTTCCCTCCTTCCCACTATCTTGCTCTCTCCCGCTATTGCTCTCACTCGCTCTCTTACTGTCTTTCTTTCTCTCTTTCTTTCTCTCGGTCTTGCACTCTAGCTTTCAATTCCCTTTCGCCTTGTCTCTTTTTCTAGATTCCTCTTCCTTTTTTTCCTTCTGTCTCTCTTTCTTCCTCCCTTTCTCTCCCCTCTTTTTGCTAGGTGGCGTGCTGAGTACGGCAGCTAGTGTAGAGACTAGTCGGTAGGTGGCGACGTGCCATTCTAAGCTGTTAACAGATAGAGGACTAGTCTCTACACTAGCTGCCGTACTCAGCACGCCACCTAGCGACTAGTCTCTACACTAGCTGCCGTACTCAGCACGCCACCTAGCGACTAGTCTCTACACTAGCGGTCGTACTCCTAGCGCCACCTACCGCCGGTCATTGTTCGCAGCAAATCAGCCGTGGCCTCGTTGGATCCGTAGACGTTCGATGCATCGATGTAAGCCGTGATCTCGTTGATCTGTTGGCGCGTACCTGGGCACGTAAACAAACAAACAAACAAAACAAATAAACAGAAGGGCATAAAAAGAAACAAACAAAGAAACATGCGCACACACACTCACACACACGTGCACACGCGCGCACTCACACGCACACACACGCACACACTTACACACACGTGCACTCGTGCATACGCACACACACAACACACACACACACACACACACACACAC